GCCACAATCGATGGAAGAAATGTACAACAGCGTCGCGTAATTAAAATCTGACGAAGTGCTTGATTCATTTCAAATCAAGGGCTCCTTGTACTTCGTATTCTTTGTCCGATTGAAGTCTTACTTCCTCCATCGATTATGTAATAATTAACTTGATTTCACTGTGGAACATGAATGATAAACATAGTATGAACATTCTGCTAACTACGTTATTGGAAAATATGTAATTAGTTTGTAATAGAAAGAAACATGTTTAATTTTGAAACACTCCGACAACCTTTACTACTTATGACTATCTATACAATTGTTTTTATATTGTCGCGATGTTATAATTTAGCAGCGTCTAAATTTTATTATAATTACTCGTAAACGTAATTAAAAGATTGGAAGGTAAATCGAGATTTCTTTTATCGACTAAATGTTAGAATATGTTCACTTCGGATGTTTTATGTTTTATTTCTTTGAATTTCAGATAAAATGCGTACAAATCCGCAAGCTAATTATAACTAAGGATTGATATTATTCTGTTCTACAAAACGAACGTGATACTATATCGGAAATTAAAACTGAATCAGTATTAAGTTATAGGAATCAATTAAGGATACAAAAAGAAAAGAAACAAAATAACCGGGAATATATAGAACATATTATTCAGAAAATTTTGATTTAGAAAATCGATCGTGTCACCTAAATTATTAGTATTCTATACAATTCCGAAGCTAATTAGACCCATCGAGTCGAGCCGAACGGAAAGCAATCGTAGGAAAAAGAAGAAAAAGAAGAAGAAAAAAGAAGTTTAACTTGATAACATGGCGGAATTTGCATGGTTTCGCAGTCTGCGGGGGTGGCTTTTGTCCCTCGTTAAGGGTTTCCCATTAAGCGGCACCACGTAATTAGAAGTAGCTCGTGTGTTGCACTGGTAATTAGCGAAACGCCGGGGACGACATTTAGCCGGGTATTCGCGATCCCGAGATTTCGAGTCTCGCGCCTTTCTCTCGTCTCGTTTTATCCCTCCCTCCCATTTTTTTTTTCAGTCTCGCACCGCATTTTTCCGATAGTTCGAACCGCGATAGTTCGGCTCCTCGCCCCAAAATTCGAGAGTTGGAACGATGCTGTTTCGCGGGTGCTTTTAATTATCACAACCGAGATCATTTGCGGAACGTTTCTCGCGGAAAGCCGCACGATAGCGGCGCTATTGTGAAAAATGTACGGCCATTCTGCCATTCTAAGACAGTCTAACTGTCCCTGCCATTTTCGTGCTAATTATTGACAGGACGTAAATCGTGGAGCAAGTCTGCTATTCTCGGGCATAATTAATACCCGTATTAAATTCCGCCCCTGTTTGGCAAAATAATTAATTATGAATCGCGCAGTGATAAATTTACTTTATTTATGAATTTACGTGAATTATACACCCGCGCTGGTGGTATTATTTTAGAGAAATTGAAATGTAGTGAATAATTCAGCTCTTCGTTTGTTGATCAAGTTAACACGACTTATTATGCTTTTATGTTTATGCAGTGTACTTTATCCTTTAGTTTTGTCCGTAACAAGGAAGAAGAAGAATTTCAATTTTCGCAATGTCGTATGATTATTGAAACTCGAGATTTTCATTAGAGAAAATGTGTGGTAAAATGATACAGTACAGAGATTTACATATTTGTAGATGAATTCTTTCATCGTTTTTTTATGTATTCTTGTATATTTTCTAGCACCTTGTGTTAATACATTATATAAAAGATTAGAAAGAGAAATGATAATTTTAATTTAACGTGTATCAACTACATGATGAAATAACACGATAATTTATATCAAACTGGTAGTCATAGTTTTAACAAAACTAACACTTTATTTCTTTATTTATTCTACGGGAAGATTCATCCTTTAAAGATACAATAGCAAAAGACAATACATCAAAGAGAAGATAGCAATACGTGTATAAATATAAATAAAATTAAAAAACTAAAATATCGAGATCAATTGAGAAGAAAGTTAATCTGCATTACGATATCCACATCGAAGAAGTAGAAGATCGTAGGGATTGAGATTTAGTATTTATTAGCTGCTGCCTAAAATAATGCAGAAGTTCCAGTGAGGAATAACAAAAATTCATTGGAAAATACAGATTCTCTGAATTGAATCAGTGGGTTCAACTCGTCTATACGTACGCAGGTGAATTAAAAATTGAAGGCGCTTTGAGTCGAACGGTAAGAGCATTGAGGTTGATCAATTTTAACGAGTCATAGGAGAAGAATTTGAACGAAACAAAATTGAACAGAATTTCGAGTAAAATTCAGAGAGAAATGGTAAATTTGTTCACCGCAGTATCAACTATAATCCACATCAACGAATGAAATTTCCAACACCTCCGAGCGCTAGTACAATTCAAGGAACGCCCCAGAAACTCTCAACACCCCGACGTGAATGTGAACGGTTGCCATGGGTTCGTGGTTCACGGACTTGGTTATACGAACACGAGCGATTCGATTCACGAAGTAGTAGTTCTCGCGACCAGCTACCCGGATAAAAGTTAATATAACCGCGGTTATTTATGCCGTGGCGCGCGGGAAGGCCGGAATTTCAAGCGGATTCGTCCGGCGCTTTGGCAGCTGTCGGCGTGCCGCCTTGTAAACCGGGGCGCCATTAAAAATTAATGGGAACGCGTTCCATAATGCAGCAGACTTGAATTTTCATTCGAAGAGGCCGAGGCCTCGTTGCAAATTTCAAGGATACACGCACGAGGGCTACACAGACGTTTCGCCCTCGCGCGTTTCCGTCCGCCCCGCGCGATGGAAAATTAATAGATATCGCTTTGCATATCGTTGAAAAGTTAACTGCGCCGGCGGTTGAAACGCCTCGTTTAAAAGCGATAATTGGTCGCCGAACGCGTGAACATCGGGAAAACTACGAGCGAAATCCTCTTTCTTCTCTTTCGACTTTTCCTTCTCGGTTTAGACAACCGTGTGTCTTCTCGGAGCGGGTGATCATTGAATTTCATCGGGATTAGTCGAAGAGTTGATAAACTACGAGGAGGATGTTGCCGACACCTGCGACGAGATTAGAGTCAGGACGGCACGCGACGTTTCCAATTTTCCTCCTCGCTTCCACCTATTTTGCGTTTGTCTGTGAGGTGGATGTAGAGATCGTGAGGAACGAGAGGAATTGCAAGGGGATCTGCGATTTAAGACGGAGAGTCTTAGAGACTTTACGCCTGTCACATCTCTTCTTGAATTTGGTTTACCGTAATCTGGTAAACTGTGCGATGAATTTCACGCGTTCAATCTTTTTATTCCCCTAGTGTTTTCAAAATCATTTTTTCATTCTTTCGTTGTGTTTGTGAATGTTCCTCGTCCCATAGTAATCAACTTTTTATTCATCAATCCCTCGTATCCTCTCGCGAAGAAAACACGATATACTGAAACTAAGAACAACGCAAAATCTAACACGCAAATTTCGTTGTTCGATCGTCGGTTTACTCTTGATCATTTAATCAGATCAGTAGGACAGACAATGATCAAATTTCGTACACATTTATGTTCCTCGATGAGCCAGAATTTCCATCGCAACTCTGCATCCGACTGTCACACGTTGCTTCTCGAAATGTGACATTCATTTCTCTCTCGCCGCAGTGTTTCAAGATTGTCGGGACGTCGAACCAGATCGCCATCACCTTGGTCAAAAAACGTTAAAGAAACGGACAAAGAGGGAGTCTCGTTTACGCGTATCTGCCGACGTGGCAGCGATCCTTCCCCCCTCCCCCACGGATCCTTATCGCGTTTCCCTCGAAATTTTCTTGAGCGGTGGAAGGGAAACTTTCACGGTGAGGGGCGAACGAACGCGAATTGTCGTCGCCGGAATCCGAGCCGTGAGACGTTCCAGGAGACGTTCGCCAAGCAGTCGCGCGATATCCGAGAAGATAAGGTTACTGCGGGGGACGGTCAACAGATAGCGAGGTTGCATAAAAGGCGTCCCCTTCGGCGGAGCGGTAAGTGGAGTAGACGGAGATTACGGGAGTAACGACGGTTA